TTTGCTTAACAACTGAGTTGCTGACCCCAATTGTGGTCACTAAAAGAGGACTACCTGTAAATTCAGAAAAATATGTTACAAATTAAGATTGTATAAACAGCTGCGTGTGTGTGTGTGTGTGTGAGTCGTTATTGACTCCTGGTAACTTGACTAGTCCCTGCAGTTTTCTTGGCAAGTTTTTTGGAAGTGGTTTGCCCTTGCCTCCTTCCGAGGGCTGAGAGGGAGGGACTGGCCCAAGGTTTCGGGCTAAAGCGGGACTAGAACTCACGGCCTCCCAATTTCTAGCCTGGTGCCTTAACCACTACACCAAACTGGCTCTTATAAACAGCTTTACCATAAGGGATAAAATAAAGAATAGAATAGAATAGAATAGAATAGAATAGAATAGAATAGAATAGAATAGAATAGAATAGAATAGAATAGAATTCATACAGACCCTGAAGAGAAGGAGAAATTAGAGTTCCAAAGAAAAACATGAAGCTACACACACATACATATATACATCCACACACAAAGACATCCATACAAACACACACATAACCATAGATGTGTGTGTGAGGGAAAGCTATGGTTTACCTCCTTCTACTTTCCACTCTATTTTGAAAGAGATAAATCAGATTCTGCCCTGAGGAGAAGTTCTTCCCCTCCCCCGCTCCTCTTGCAATAGCTGCAGACCCGGCGGGGGAGGGGCCTGTGAGTTTAAAGAAATCAAACACCTGATGCATCTTCTAATCCATCAGTCTTCCTCAACCTTCCATTTGCATCCATCAGCCTTCCTTGACCTGCTGTCCCTCAGACATCTTGGGCTCCAACTCCTATGTTCCCCAGCCAGAACACCCTGTGGGAAAAAGCTGTTCAAATCCAACACCTTTTGAGGGGAGCTGCTTGGGAAGGCTGGCACATGTTGTCTTCTGAGAAACAGTTTCAGGTCTGCCTCAACCAGTCCTCAAGCAAGACAGGTTTTGAACCTCTGAGAAAGCCTGAAGGGCTGACAGCTGGTAGCCCCTTTTCCGACTAACACTTTTATTAAAAGGCATGAGCTTTCATAAGCTGAGCTCACTTCATCAGATCAAATGGAATTGGAAAAGCTTATGCCTTTTAATAAAATGTGTTAGTGGGAAAAGGGGCTACCAGACTCCTGATTTTTTGCTACTAGCATGCTGACTAGAGAGAGCCAGTTTGGTGTAGTGGTTAAGGCACCAGGCTAGAAAACAGGAGACTGTGAGACTAGTCCTGCTTGAGGCATGAAGCCAGCTGGGTGACCTTGAGCCAGTCCCCCTCTCAGTCCTAGGAAGCAGGTAAAGGCAAACCACTTCTGAAAAACCTTGCCAAGAAAACTGCAGGGACTAATCCAGGCAGTCGCCAGGAGTCAATGCTGACTCCAAGGCACAGGGAAAAAGTGCTGACTAGAGATACAGCTAGTTGGCAGGAAAGAGAGACAGAAAACTACTGTAACTCTGTGCTGTCATCTGGTTCTCCTTTGGAATTTTGTAACCCAGATCCGATAGGCCCAATGCTGAGGCGACTTCCTGACTTCATCCCCCTCACCCAAGAGAGCCTCCTGAGTTGCTTCTGTTGCTGCCCTTTCTCCCCAGAGTGATTTGTGTGTGCAATCTCTGGCCACCAGAACAAGTCTGTTTCCTCAAATCTAGCCACTAGCTCTTCAACTGATGACTAACACTGGGATGGGGAGTTGTCTGCCTTGGGATCCAGACTCCCAGCTTCTCCATTTCAAAAACATCTGGCACAGTCAATGTTGGGCAGATTGCTATATGGCAAATGGTTTGTATGGAAAGCTGGAAAGGATGTCGTTTTAAGGCTCTTGTGAATGTAACCATCCTGCCAGTCTGCAGGCAATCCTCATCCCTGAGTGAGATATGGCTGTCAGGCACACTGTCAAGTGGAGTCCTTGGGGTTCTCTGAGCTTGGTTCTTTTCAAGTGCTCCTTTTAGTGCTCTGAAGATGTTACCTAGCCGGGTAATGAAACGTTTGCAAGAAAAGAACCAAGCTTAGAGAA